GGTTATATCTTTGTAACAAAAATTAAGAATATCATGAGAGAGGTAAGTAATATAACTAGTCAATAATAGTTATCCCATGACTACAAATTTTACCATACATACCAAGTGTTAATGCCAGTCTACATATACTAACCCAAGCTTCAAGATCAATATAATGGATAGTATCAAAATCATATATAAAGATAATTTAGAGATTTAGTAAATTTTCAAGTTTTTCCTATAGACTATCTCCTTAGACTGAGATGAAAGTATAAAGTGAGCTTTTAAATAGGTAAAGGGGAGGGGGGTGTTCCAAATATATAGTAAGGATAGTAACTAGGTTAGATATGGTTAACCAACTTTAGATGTTATTTGGCTTCTTATTTAGTGTGTTTATTTTTGTTTTACATCTAACTTGGATTTAAGCCCAAACTCTATATCATATTCATTGGTGAAGCATGTATATCTTTGCATTAAACCATTAGTATGCTAAAGTAATGCTAAACTTTATTTAACTTTATTTTGCATATTAGTTTTGGCATTAAGATGTTAAAAGCTCTAAAACTATTCTAATGTTGTTGTGTATTTTTATTTTTTTCTCTTTAACTGTATATTCAAGAGTTCAATCCCCTCCTTTCATTTAGTAGCCCAAGGCCTTAAAACCTAGATCCCACTCTATTGCCTTTAACACATACATTTAAGAATTAGATTCTACTATATGGTTAGAGTGAACTATGTGTGGTATATTTATCCTTATTTATTCCCCAATGTTCTAAAGATTTATGGTGATAATATATCCAAATCTCATCCTATAATCACATATGTTACAATTTTTTAAGTCTCAATTCACAATCTACTCATTATTACTTCAAAGCCTTACAATAATTAATTGATCTCCTTATAAGACCTTAGTGTCTTGTAGGGTAGTGCCTTATTATCTTGAGGAATGGCAAAACTAAGGTTTATATGGATTTAGGGTTTTAAGGGTGTAATAGAATATTCTTTTTAAATCTCACATTCAAGAGCTTGTCCAATAAAAATCACACCACCACCATCAAGCTCCAATTAAAAAATTTAATTGAATTGCTAACAAGAAAATCCACCTCTTGCTAGTGCTTATAAACTTGTAGCCATAGGTAAGATTTTCTTAAAATATGCATCAATGAAAACATTGTTGTAGAAAGGATTGAGCTCTTAGCAGAGTTGCCATATCTCTTCCATTATCTTCTCCATTATTAAGATTTATTAGAAAAAATAATCCTATCCCATCCCAGTTTGCCAGTATCATAGTTGTTATGATTCTTTGGTACTCTCAACACTATTTATAGAACTTGCTAGTTTCACCTTAAAATAGAAAGAAATTCTTTTATATCCTTATAATTGTAAGACACAAATGCATAAGTCCCAAAGTGGAGCGGAATGTGAGATATATGGCAGTGGCCAAAGTGGAAGTCCCATAAACATAACACATTTTGATAAAAAGTTCCAACTCAAAAAGTCAAGAGTAAAAATGAAACTCCCAAAGAAGTGTTTGAGAAATGAATATAAAGTGATTGATAAATGAATCTCTAGAAAAGGACAAAAGAATGATCAACATGTGGCAAATGTCATAGAAGTGTCAAGACCAAGTCTAAAACCAATACTCAATTTGAGACTAAGTCCAAAATTGAGTCTAAGACCAAGATTAAAATTGAGACTTAGTTTGAGACTAAATCCAAGTTCAAATCTGAATTTAAGTTTGAGTCTAAATCCAAAATCGAGTTTGAGTTTGAGTCCAAGGGTGAAAGCCTAAAGCAATTGTCTTCAAAACCATATAGGGCTTAGTAAGTCCTTGCATAATAGTAGGGAGAGGATTCCAAGGGTAGTGTGGCAAGAGAAGGCTAGTAATCTAAGGAATGTTATACCCATGTGATAAATAATGATATGAACACTAGGGAGTTCAAGGCTAAAGTGAACATGAATAGACAAGTGGTGTGACTTAATGAAATTTTCAATAACCAACTCTAATTCCTTTGGGAAAGTGAATGCTTAATGTTCCCAATCCAAGTGTGGGTGGCATTAGCTATTTAGATACATTGCATAGCTCATTAGAACCTTGCCCTAGCTACATAACTAGGGCATCCTAGTGGTGGGAGTACCCATGAGGCTTATGTTAGGCTATGATATTTTGAAATATTGTCCTAAAGTCTTTGACCTTACTTTGTAACTAAGAGTATAATTATATAGTGAGGAAGTCCTAGAGGTTAGGGGGACTTAATGGATAGGTTTTCAGGTCCTAAATTAATAGTGATATTAATAAGTATTGCCATGGACAGAGAGGAATTTGAAGATCAAAGAAGGGATATTAAAGGATGATGTTCTTTATATCTATGGGCATCCTAAAGATGATAAAGTGTGGCCACTCCTAGATAAATAGCCCAATTTTAGAGAGATAATATTGTGGTATAGATGTATAAGCAACTAAAAAGAATGACTTGAGAGACGATCCATAGGGGTTCAAATATAAATGGTTAAGGGTCTTGGGATATTTAGAATTAAGAATCCTTAGGTTTGAATAATACTACCTTCTGGGAAGTCTAAATTCATAAGTTTATATTTGATATTAAAGAGGTCTCAAAGTCCAACCCTATTTATTAGTTTAGGGAAATCACACCATATATTAAAATTGACATCTAGTCTGTTTAGTTTGCCTCTAACTAAGATTAACCCAAAGGGTAGGGTATCAAGAAAGCAAGGCTTTTGGGAGAGCTATGGCTCTCATCTTTTATTCATGAGAGCATAAACTTGTATGAAAGTGTGGTAGATTGTAAACAATCAAAGAGAATGACTCAAAAGACGATTCATAAGAGTTTAAATATAAAAGGAAAAGGCTCATAAATAAAAATGCACCCCCTTTTCCAATCCATTAAGGGTTTTAAAATATTTGGGGTTAAGCATCCTTAGGTTTAAATAGTACTAGATTAGATGACCTCTTGGGAAGTTTAAATTCAAGAGTTTACAAGGTGATCTTAGACTACTAATATGATAATAAGGATGGATATAACTTTAATATAAAAAGTTAGTACTTTTGTGGTACTTTAGGTATCTAAAGTAGGACTAGATACATGAAGCATTTAAACCAAATGTAAAATAGTGTGGCTTTGAGATAATCTTTAGGGGCTAGTAAATTTTCTAAATTGGGATGTGGACTTATGGAAATTGTGAGTGAGACTTTTTTAAATGGTCAAAAACATGGTTAAATGACTAAAATAAAATAGAAAATTTAATTATTTACAACTTGGTATCAAAAATGTTCCTTAGTTTAATTTTTATTGGTGGTCAAATATATCATCTCTTTGATATTAACATCTGAAGGTCTCATAAGTGGGGTTATACTCTAGGAGTAGTGTGTCAAAAGAGCATAGCTCTCCACTTTAATTTATATGATCTTATAGGTATTGTGGTGGATAAAAAGGGGGATTAATAAAGTAACAACTTTGGGATTTTGGAAACTATAGAAGGTTTTCCTCAAATAATTAAAATGTGATCTATATAAGAGTTTAACTTAACAAACTAGCTTTAATATAATTATAATAAACAATTATGGTTGGGCTCCCTTGAAAGATGGGGACTCCTATACATTAAAGGAGTTATAAGATTATTCTTATGTAGTTGTGGATGGTACTTATGAATTTAAGAATAACCATGGTATAAGCAACAATAAAAAATGACTCAAAAGATAATTTATAAAAGTTCAAAAATAATAGGAAAGAGCCCATGAATAAAAATGCACCCCTTTTTCAATTAATTAAGAGTTTTTTGATACTTAGGGTTAAGTGTCCTTGGGTTTGAGTAATACTAAGTTAGGTGACCTCTCAGGAAATCAAAATTCAAGAGTTTACATTTGGTATTGAAATGGTTTTAGATTCAACTTTAGTAATTGGTAAGGGGAATTATATTATATATTGAGATTGACATCTAGCATGTATAGCTTACTCTAACTAGGCTTAACTTGAGGGTAGGGTGTCAAGAGAATGGGGCTCTTGGAAGAGTTGTAGCTTTCAACTTCCATTTATGAAGGCGTGAATTTGTAAAAAAACATGGTCTAAACAACCAAAAAGAACAACTTAAGAGATGATTCATAAAGTTCAAATATAAAAGAAAAGAGACTATAAACAAAAGTGCACCCCTTTTTTTAATCAATTAAGGATTTTAAAATATTTATTGTTAGTGTCCTTGGGTTTGAATGGGTTAGGTGATGTCTTGGGAAATCCAAATTCATGAGCTTACACATAAATGGTTAAATACAAATGAGAATATATGTGAAAATATAATTGGGTGTCAAAATAATATGAATGGTGTTAATGGTCTTAATAAAGTTCAAAAACAATATGACTTAGTGGAATTAAAGGATAATTTCTGTAGCACATATGATCCTAAAATATACTATCACCATGGATATTCCTATCCTTAAAATTGAGGTTATACATATTGAGTATGTTTTATCCACCATGAGATTGCAATACAAGTGGATAATTAATTTATACAATTTAATAAATTCAATGTGGAAATGAAAGTGTTAATTCCCTTTAGCTCAATAAAAGTTATTAGCTCAATATATGTGATCATTTTGAATGTTTACAATCAACAATTGAAGAACCTTAAACCCCAAAAAGATGCTACTACCTAAAGTGATAGAGATGACCATGGCAACCAGCAAAGAGGAAGAGGATTAGAAGTGTCACGAGAAGTATTTGCTGCCAGTTCAAAGAAAACTATGAGAAGTTTGTGAGCTTTTATCTTCCCTTCACATCCCAAGCATCATCGTTCCTCAGATCCTAGCCAATGAGCTTCTGGGACTTAGCTCGGCATTGGCCTTGATTCTCGCCAGTGGCGAGTAGAGGGATGAACCATC